CTTTGTCGTGCGGGGGCAAAGGTCAGACTCAAACAATTGAAAGGACGCCATGCTTCATTCTGTGATTCACCAAGTTGTCAGGCGAATTATTCATTGCAAGCTGGTCTGCTCTTTTGTTCTTCACATTTCTCAATTTGTGCGTGGGTGTCTTGTAGAATAAGGCCTCCTTGCACATCGTTGGTTTCCAGTTTTCCTGCCAACAGTAGTGAGAGCCGTCCAAGAGCAAACCCTGGCCGGTGAGCTGGGCTGTGTTTGTGGGCACCGGGGCCTTTCTTATTTCCCTTCCGGTTGGGTCAATTGTGCTCCTGCCGCAAAACAGGGGCCTCTGACTTCGCGACCCTGTGGTGGAACATTCACGTCCAGTGGACGGAAATTTGATGTTGGAAGTAAACAATAAGTTGGCAAATTTGACCTTGTTCTGTCTGCAGTCAGGACCCGAGTAACACAAGCACAGTACTTGGACGAGACAATGTTTGAGGATTGTTTAGAACGATCTTCTGGCAAACTTCATGGTCGCATCCCAAGTCTGAGAGAGCACGTTCTGACTGCTAGTAGCACTTGATCACTGTCGAAGCTGACCACTGTGTCTTGGACTTTGAAGGGTCCAAGATGACAGGGTGGCAAGGGGAAGTATGCCACAAGCGCGCAAAAGCCCTATGCCTATAGCCTATTGGCCATTTTAGCAGATTCTTCTACTACTTGGTTTGATTGGGACAATAGGAAAACCCACACATGGGTCATATGGGCAGGTATCAAAGTCAGGGACCCGCCAAAAATGGTTGGTTCCCTTTTGGTTTCCCTTTCAACCAACCCCACATTTTTGCAAACGGGGTAGCCTGAAAAGAAAGACGAGCCAGCCAATAGCCGTCCGACGGGCTGCCAGGAACCGGAAGCTCTTGAAGCCGACAGCGGTTGACAAAACGCTGCGGTTTACATGGGCTCAGCTGAGGGCTTCTCAAAATTCGGGACCCCCTTTTCCACTTTGGCTTAGGGTTGACAAATCAGGGTCCAAAAAGGGGGCCATACTTTTGAGAACACTTGGGATGTTGGAGGCGGGAACGTTGGCATGAGGATACCCGGGGAATCTGGGGTTGGCTCCCCCACCATGGTTCTTACCCACGGATAAAGCGGCTTGACCATCCAAGCAGCTCTCCGGCAGGCCTGCGCTCGGTGGCTCCACCAGGGGGCCGCTGTTTGGATGTTTGTCTCGGAGCCTAAGTAGGTTCTAACAAACGGGTTCCAGCGTAGCATCCTAGAACCCGTTTGTGAGAACCCCTTTGTTCGAACCCACTTTAAGCCGCCCAGGTTTCATGTGGCGCCTTCCGCCGTTTTTGGGCTCAGAATTCACGGTGAGCTGGCCAACGCCGAAAGGGGAGCCTTGGAAGAAAAGAGGCTCCAACTCTAGACTTTTCTCAAAATGGGATGCGGCCCCCTGTTGGTTGGTATTTAAAGTGAAACCAAAAGAACAGCATTTGAGGGAACCACTATTTTGAGAACGCCCTCGTTTTAGGGTGTGAGCCAACCCAAGTGAGACTGGAGCAGAACTGGCTTTGGCATTACAACGCTCATCCTTGTCTGGCGCCAACGTTTAGCCAAGGATTTCAGAGACCACTGAGGTACTTTGGGAGGCGGACCCCCAAGACGGTTGGCTTGCCATTTGTTTCCCTTTCAAACTGAACACGGCACCCAGCCTCAAACAAGACCACAAACCCATGGAGTGATTCCTTCTCAACATTTTGGCGTCATGGTGGTAAACAGCTCGGGCCGGGCAGGGCACCCCCGGCCTCGATCGCTTTGCTTGTGCATGTCATGGCTCGCCGGAACCTGCTGGCCAAGGCAGGATGGCAAGGGTGGCTCAAGATGGGTGGACCCCCAAAATGATGAGGTTCCTTTTGGTTTCCCTTTGAACCAAGGTGAAAAGGGCGCCCTCGAAAAGGACACACACCGAGATCCACCGATTCGGGGAGTTGAGGGTACCCTTGTGGTGGAGGTTGGTTTGAAGCAATATCAAAATACTCGTCGCCAGTTGTGGAGTCCAAATCCCTATTTTGAGACACGCCTGTCCACAGCGCTGACCGTCTGGAGCGCCACAACTGCATGTGCCTGCCAGGCGCTTCTACTGGCGGCCCTGTGTCAAGGCCTGCGGGTGTGGTGTGTGTGTGTGTGTGGTGTGCAGGTGTTGGCGACACATTGGCATGCGAAACCAAAGCCAGACTTTTTGTGCTTGTCGCCGCTTCTATTTTCCTTTATTTGTCCTTTCAACCAGCAAAAATAGTGGAAGCTTTGGCAGCAGGCCCAGATGGCTAGGTGGTTCGTGGGGTTAGTGGGTGCTTGGTGGGTCGTTTGGGTTTTGACCCGCAGTGGGCCAAGGTTGTGGCATCTCGGGTGTTGGGGCCACTTTGTGTAACAATAAAATCCCCAGTCAGCGCCAGCGCAGTCGGATGGCATAGCCTGAGCCGCCGAGTTAGGGCGGTTCCACCACTTGGCTTCATGGGGGCTTGTAGCTCATGAACCTTTTACGTTGTTACTGGAACCACCAGTCAATGGGTTCTTTGCTCGGCATTTGATCTTTTGCCGCTTTCTTTTGCAAATGAAAAGGTATGTATTGGTCAGATTGTATGCCATCTAAAACACTGTCAAATAAATGGAGCATTGCAGGAATGTGTGTTTCTCGTAGTTTCATTTTCTTTTTGGGGGATGGACACGTGCGGAAGGAATGCCCCCTATTTTCCTTCTTTCAGTTAGAAGTGATTTGGATCAACTCTAAATGAAACGCCCCGAAATAATATCAAGAGGCTCAATCTGAGGTTAGCGTGAGTTATTGAATGGCTCAGCCTGGGCATTGAATGACCCATGTGAATGCTGGGCCAATCCTGATGGGATTGGGCCTACGGCTTCAGCTACATCTTCATAGAACTGTGTCCATCCTCCAAACATGCACAAATGCAACCACACCTCCAGTTCTTTGTGTTTTTCAGTCTTTGTGTTGGCACTGGGGGTCTCAAGAACGTTCTGGTAGATCTCAAAACCTGCCGAAAGCTCGGGCAATCCTCGAAATCCGGTGGTTGGGTGATTTTCGGTTCAGGTACGGGGACCCTAGGTGTTCTTTCTAGTGAGCCCTCAAAAGGTGTCCCTTTCAAATCCCAAAGGTCTTTTCTGTAAGGACAGCGATCACTACTGTCTAAGACTACACTGACTACCCCCAAACCACTACCCCCAGAAGCCAATGGATATATACAGGTCATTTAAGAGTTAGGAAAGGGTCAATTACGAGGGCGCCTCAATGTGTGCATATTTGGCTGCTGCAGAAAGCAGGTAATCTGGAGCTGCTGCATGTTTTTCATCCGGGTTCGCTGCTATCAGTTTTGACATTGAAACTTGTGAACATCAACGCTTGGTTTACGCCGGTATCTTTGTTTAAGGTGAACATCAAAGCTTTGCTTTCTTGGCAGCCAGTTTGGTTTGCGGCTTTGATCATGTCGCGTTGGAGGGACCGCCACATCCCCCGTTTTGGGGGTAGTGAGTCCCAAAACGCGCGGTTTGGGTAGAGGATTTGACTGGGCGATTTTGGGGGCAGTTACACGTCACCTGGTATGCTCGTGAAAAAGATGAATCATACCACTACCCCCAGTTTGGGGGTAGTTGGGGGCGGTAGCGCGCGGATAGTGTGCGGGAGTTCCGGAGTCGGTGTGGGTGGCAACAGCCTCAAAATTGCTTTTCGAATACTGGGACGATTGGCCACAAAAGTTCACCACGTTTAGCCACGAGGTAGACGGGCATCGGGCTAAGCCATTCTGAAGAACTGTGCTAGTAGGCACTCACCGTTCTAGGGGCCACGCAGCTGCAGGAAAATAATTACAAACATCAAGCAGCTTGAAGGGTTTTGTGGAGCACAAAATGTGGGCTTTTGGGGGTCGTGTTTTGGGGGTAGTGACCTTGGTCTTAGATACTGCAAAACATGTGTTTTTCTAGGGGACTTTGTCGCAAATGGGTATGTTTTGCGGGACCAGGTCTCGTAAGTCCGGTGTGACACGCCCGTGCAGGGCCCTTGGGCTTCGCAGGGGCAGCGGTGGGCTGCCGCAAAACGCCGGCGCCCCGAAACGCCCAGGGCGTTGCGTGGGACCAACGCAACTGCAAAATGGAGGACAACGAGGTGGGTTGGACATTTACCAAGCCCTAGGGAAACTGGCGCAATTCTGCTTTTAAGCTCATCATTCCCAGACACGGAGGGTACCCCGTGAAATTCAGCTTGTGTTTTTGCCGCTGCTTTTTGGCTTTACAAGGGCAAGGAAACCGTTGAGGCCCCCAAATTTTTGCGGCAGGCGAATATTGGCGGCTCCTTTGTCCCGAGGCGCATCCTAATACCCAAAAAAGCCAGCTGTGTGGGCCAAGTACAGACCCCTGTTGACATGGAACTGCACGTGCATTAGGCTTGTAGCCACTTCCGCAGCCATTTCCGCAGCTTCGCCCGGTTGGAACGGCCATTTGCATGCCTCCGATGTTGACGCAGTGGTGTTAACCAACGGCCACATTGCACTTGGGAGCCGCATCCTCGAACAGCCATTTCAGAAGAAGAAAGCCGTATTGTACTGAGACTTAGACATAGCACATCTACCCACATTGGTATGTCTCAACAGGGGCTTCCTGGCACAATTGGATTACTTTTGGCGTCCTCGATGTTTTGCAACCTTTCGGTTGGGAGGGCCATTAAAAGATGACAAAACCACAAGGGTCGAAGAATGGCAAGCACTTCCCCTTGGTTTCCTTCATCAAAGACCAACATAATCTACCCTTGGGCTTGAATGGGCGCAACCCTGGGAATGGGAGCCAATTGAGCCACTTGTTCGGAGAAAAACCAACCATACAACTAGCCAAACAGCCAACCAACACATGTTCTTGTTCGTTTGGTCAACCAGCCAAACACATGAAAACCAGCCAAATAGCTCACGTGTTCAAACAAGCAAACATTGGTTGCGCTCGATCGCATTTGGACATTCGCCATGCATGCGCCGCTGCGCCTTGCCTTCATTGCATGCTTGGCTGCGGCTACCAGGCCGTGCTCGAGCCGCCTGGGCTTAATCCCTGCTGCATGCCAACTGTCCAGAGGTGAGCAACTGAGAACATGATTGGGTGTTCCATGTCCACGACACTCCACCGTTTCAGCATACCCCAAACCTTCCATAAGCCAGGAATCCTTAACCTCCCATAAGGATTCCTTAGGTCCGCGATATCCGCTCAAAAGGTATGTGAAGGTCCTTGTAGGGGGAATGGGGGGCCTTGGCTGAATTGTCCACACTGACCAAGTGCAGTCCTTGGCACTTCACAGAATGCGGACTGGCGAACCCCCCCCGCAAAACGGAGCGCCCTATTTTGAGTCAAATCCATTTGGGGTGTCTCATTTTGTGGTCTTTTGGGGGGTGGTTTTAAAGCGAAGCCTAAGGGAATCAATTTTGGGTTCCAATTTGAATCACTGGGATGGTGACCAGCCGATCGATAAGGAAGCTATGGGAGCCAAGAGTAAGGGGTCCGAATTTTCCGAATCCCTCCTTTCGAGCACGGACCTGACGGGTACAGAGAGGGTCGGCGAGCTTCATTCTTGACAGGGTGAAACTACAGCAGGTGGTAGTAGCTAGTAGGTAGTAAGCAGTAGGTAGTAGGTAGGAGGTGGTAAGTAGTAAGTTGTAGCTAGCTACTAGACAGCAGGTAGCAGGAGGTACACCTTGAGATCATGCAGCGTCACTGGGGAAACAGTTGGAAATAGCAGTTCAGAAGACAAATGCATCGCGAAAACAAGCACGCTTCGCATAATTCATTTCCTGGTAGTTTTTTTTGACTGGCTGCAATTTGGCGCCCAATCTCGTCCAATCTCGCTGGACGGTTTCTCAAGGCACAACATATCCAGGGATTTTCCATAGGTGTGAAACACTAGTTACCAAGTCGGGTGGCACTATGAATCGGTGTTTGCAAAATTAGAGCTGCGAAGATGACGAGTTCAGTTGGAATCCCAGAGCTTTGGCTGTCCGATTTTCTGAGATCCTTGGTCGCCACCTGAAGACCTCGGGGCAACTGAGTGCGAGCACAAGCCATGTGAAGATAGCTGGGTTGGGTCGAACGGCTGGCCAGTCGCTTGGGATCCTCTTCATGCAGCCTTGCATTGGTACGCTTGTTCTTGCCTTTTGGCCGGATAGCGAAAGTTTGTGGGTCTTGTGACTTTCACACAGCGAACGATCCCAATGGCTCAATGTTGGTTTCTTATTGTTTTATTTCCAGAATTACAGGATGGTCCTAAGTGCGACAAAATGTGGCTTGGGCCTAGGGCTTTTTCGAGGGCACCCTGTTCAGGTTGGTTTTTTCGGGAAGCCAGAGGGAGAACCACGTTTCTTTTGACACATACTTCAAGGTCACACCCTGCATGACCAAGTCCTTGGTGCCGGGTCCCAAGCGCAAAACCGCTCAGAAGGCAGCATTGCTATGTCCTTGTCCCTTTCTGATCGGTTCAATCGCAGGGTGTCTGAATTTTTCGCTGACCCATCCCAAGCCCAGAAGGTCCCATGAGAATACAAACCTCAGGGGTTTTGGTGTGCGACGCCCATGGTTTCTTTCATAGGGGTCCCTTGTTTCTGGTGAAGAACACTATTTTTTGCCAAGAAGCTTGGGCAATTCCCGATAAATCATGAGGGTTTCCTTCTTCGCTTCCTTGCAATATGTCTTGTCTCTAAATGGGCGACTTTTCGCTTCGAATGGGTTCCTTTTGGCTTTGAAGCCAACCCCCAGTGCACCGAGCCTCAAGAAAGACGACGCCGTTCTGGGCGACCGAGGACGTGATGTGCACTACGACCTGTCCGAATGCCACACTTCTCGGGGCGGCAAAGTGCGAGAGGCCTTCGCCTATGTGCCTTCGCTGTGACTTCGGGTCTCTCTGAGAGGCTTTTTCACCCCTGATGGACTTGATAGTTTTCGGGAGGACCATTGATTCATGTCCACCAACCACTTTTGAGGTGGCAACCTATTGAAATTCATAGCGAGATGCCAGTTTGGGAATGATCATGTGGCAAGTTTCTTTGGGTTGTGCCACTGGGTGTTTACACCCTTGAGTTTAGACAGATTGAATTCCTAAATCCAACCAAAAATAGGGTCTCCAAAAGTTATGTTAGGGTAGACGAAACTGACAATACTTTTTTTGGGTTGTGTCAGAATTGGGTCAAGATTTGCAGAAAGGCTCCGCTCTGCTGTAGTTGTAAAAGGAAACCAAAAGCCCAATGGAAACCCAGATCAGTAAATCCCTGGTTGATTTTGAGCAGCAATCCCACTCTTCCCTAAACACAATCCTCCTATGGTTGTAAACATGTTCGGCCCATTCAAGGCAAATGTTGGGGATGATGTTTACGGGCGATAGGGAACCCTGTCAAGCCCTGCCCCCGGACTCGGTTTGCTTCTTGGGGAAAATAATTTTCCTGTTGGTCCATTTTGGCCCCAAAAGGTGGTTTCAGGGTCCCAATAGGGGCCACTGAGACGACCGAGGCGGGCCCCGGATGCAACTTGTCGGCGCCCAACTCGCTGACGCTGCCCAAGCCCTTGCTGGATCTGCCCTGTGAGCAGCCCTGCTCTCTGAATCCAGAAGTGGGAAAGGGATGGGAAAGGGGTGAAATGGGTCTGTGCTGTTTGAGGCACGGTACCCAAGAAGGATGGGGGGTCCCATGATTTTGACACATATTCAAAGCTATAAGCCAAACGTGAGTGGTGGACAGTAATCCTCAATGATGTCCATCAAAGGATCCCCAGTTCCAAATGCACCCAAATGTGAGGTTCACAATGTTTGATGGCCCAAAAAATACACAAGGATTACACATAGTCATAATTCTCTAAGCAACGCAAATAAACTCGGTCTCAAGGTACCCCACAAACCTGGAAAAACACAAACAAAAAACACGGTTGGGGGGATACTCAGGGGCTCGGTCTATTTTCTAGCAGTCCACAGTTGATTTGGGAGCGACCTGGGGGGACACTAAATTTCCCAGAAGGGTCTGAATCATATGCATATCATTATTTGACCATGACCATGACTAAGATTGGTTTCGAACAATCCAACACACACACACACAAACATTCTATCTTAACTCTTGCGTGACCCAAATTGACACGGTGACGACTTTTAAATATGTGGGGGCCGGGCCTGGGCTTCAGGGCTGGGAGGTAGTGTAGCACATTTGTTTAAATCGGATATTTAAAGTGGCTGGCCGGGCCACCCTCACGGGCCCTGGAGGTAGTATGAAATACCAATTAGATATTTAAATGGCAACACCGACACAGACCCCTTCCACGTAAAAAGGCAGGGCGTAACACAATTCAAGGCCTTGCTAGCAGCTGCGTTGCGCTAGCTCCTGCCAAGCCAGGTCAGATTGCACAGGTCCAACCTAAGGCGCCATGTCGGTACTATGCTTGCGTAACTCCATGCTTGATAAACGCCTGGGCTTGCGGAGCTAAGTGCGCTGAATTGAGCTGCCCAAGCCGTGTGTACGTGGCTCGTGGAGAAAGAAAGCAAGAAGAACATGAACGCCCCTTGTCTCGGACGGGACTCCCAGATTTCCTTGAATTCTTGAAACTCCTGGCGTCTTGGGATGGGACCTTTTTTCAATCAAATCTCAGAATGAAAAGAATTGGAAGAGAGAGAGAGAGAGAGAGCGAGAGAGAGAGAGAGAGAGAGAGCGTCAGACCTGTTTCAGACCCCTGCAAAAGTACCATCTCAAATCCGCAAAACCCTGCCCCGAATCCCCAGCACCAGTATAGCGGTGCAGCGGCTCGCGGGCCGTGGAGGTAGTACGAAACACCAATTGGGACATGGTGCAACACTGATGCCTGCAATTGCAGAACAATGCTTTCGTAATTCCATGCCACATAAACGCCTGGAATTGCGGAGCTAAGTGCGCTGAATTGCGCTGCCTAAGCCCTGTCTGCGTGGCTCGTGGAGACAGAAAGCAAGAAGGAGATGAATGCCCCTTGTCTTGGACGGAACTCCCAGATTTCCTTGAATTCTTGAAACTCCTGGCGTCTGGGGATTGGACCTTTTTTCAATCAAATCTCAGAATGAAAAGAATTGGAAGAAAAGAAAGAGAAGCAAGAGAGAGAGAGAGAGAGAGAGACAGAGAGATGGGATTGCCCTGTGTCAGGCCTGTTTCAGACCTGTTTCAGACCCCTGCCAAATGACCATCTCATATCCGCAAAACCCCGCCCCGAAGCCGTCACAAGAGTCAGCTCCTGCCAAGAACCTAAGGCGCCATGTCGGCGCAACACTGATGCCTCTAATTGCAGACCAGCGCTTTCGTAACTCCATTGTCCATGTTACATAAACGCCTGGAAATGCGGAGCTAAGTGCGCTGACTTGAGCTGCCTAAGCCCTGTCTACGTGGCTCGTGGAGAAAGAAAGCAAGAAGGAGCTTATTTTTACACCCACAGAATGAAAAGAATTGGAAGAGAAGAAAGAGACGCAAGAGAGAGAGAGGGAGAGAGAGAATGCTTGGATCTGGGTATTGGCCCCTGTGTCAGACCTGTTTCAGACCTGTTTCAGACCCCTGCAAAAGGATCCGACCATCTCATATTCGCAAAACCCTGCCCCGAATCCATAGCACACGCGCTGGCCCTTGCCAAGCCACACAGGTCCAACCTAAGGCGCTATGTCGGCGCAACACTAATGCTTCTAATTGCAGACCAACGCTTTCGTAATTCCATGCAACATAAATGCCTGGAATTGCGGAGCTAAGTGCACTGAATTGAGCTGCCTAAGCCTTCAGAAAGCAAGAAGGACATGAATGCCCTTGTCTCGGACGGGACTCCCAGATTTCCTTCAATTCTTGAAACTCCTGGCGTCTGGGGATGGGGCCTGTTTTTTTTTAACAAATCCCAGAACAGCCGACTGGTTGCGGAAGATGTAATTGGCAACATACAGCCAGCAAATTGACAAGGCGGGCCGGGCCAGAGGCAGGCTTTCAAGACGCAACGCAAAATACCTATCCAAATCGGGTATTTAAGTTGGTCGGCCGGGCTGGCGGTAACGCTGGCGGAGGTAGTGTAAAATCTTTGTTGACCTATTTAAGTGTCCGGGTGTTTAAGTGGCGACACCGTATGTTTAGGTGCGTCCTAAGGCGCTGAACCTCAGGGTGATTTCCTGTCCTTTTGGCTTACTTCCACATCCAGCGGGCAGAGGGAGTGGAGACTTACCCCGACAGTCACGGACATTGGCGTTGGCGCGAGTATTCATGATTTTGTTTCCATAGATTTACCAACCATTTTCAATAATGATAAATTGTAAATATCATGGATTGTGCCGAGGGCTTAGATTTGATGACATGCCACAAGAAGCAATCACACACAGGTTAGAAATAGCGAAAGTCCCTGAAAAGAATATACTCTGCAATGAGCGAACCTATGCTTGATGATTTAATGTAATTGTAAACGCTTTGCGCTGCCCACCTCGGCCAGCATGCTTTGGCTGGTTTGAGGTACTCTGTTTTGGTTTTGCTTGAAGTGAGCGAGTGATGTGCGCGCGTGTGCCCATGGCTTCAAGGGCTAGAACGAGAGCTAGGGTCCGGGCAGGGCCGGAGCCAGCTGAGGGAATTTGACCGATTTGGGTTGCAGGGAATTTGATCACCGGTTTCTAGGGGGAATTTGACCAGCTTCTAGTGGGGATTGGACAAGTTTCTACTGGGGAATTTGACCGGTTTCTGCGGTTTTCGGAGGAGTTGGGATGGTTTTTAGAGGCGATTTGTCTGGTTTCTGAGGGGGATTTGCCTCTAGTTGGCAACCCTGGGGCCGAGGCAACTATGCTCAGAATAAAGCTGAGCAAGTTCCAATGCGTAACGCAGAAGACAAGGCAATGCAAACCGACTTGCTGCCAAGCGATAAACAATCAATTCAAACCAACAAATTCGACTGGGCAGGTCTTGAAAAGATTGAAAAACGACCTGATGAGTAGAGCTGAAGTAAGCTTGCAAGACGATGATGGCGATGATGATGAGGATGATGATGAGGATGATGATGACGATGATGATGATGATGATGATGATAGGAACATTGCATCCTGATTAGGTTGAACATGCTTGTGTTTGCATGTTATTCTTAGCAGCACACTTATCGCACAGCACGACGCTAACCGCAATTCACTTTAGAAACCTGCTTAGTTACTTGGCCATGATTTTTAAAGGGAACCACCTCAAAAGTGATTGGTGGACATGAATCCCCACCTAAATGATGTCCACCAAAGGGTCCCTTATTAAATTCATAGCCACTTGTCAGGATTTGACGTAGCAGGTTCTTTCATTGCGCTGACTTTGACTTGCTACAGAAACAGGTAAACCATACAACGCTATTTGATGGCACGTCTGCTTTAGATGGTACCACTCCGCTGCATCAATAGGCACAGAGCCTCCGAACAAGTGGACTGACCTAACAACTGCTGGAACATGGGCGAGGAGGCTGTTATGGGATGCAGCACCATTAAGCCACAGCATGCGCATCGTGGAAAATTAGCATACTGTACCACACGCACACGATACCCTAAACTGTATGACTGAAAGAGCTGAACTCTTAAGTTGATCAAGAAGCCAGCAATGAAGAACACCGGAGAAGAACTGACAAAGTACTCATAACGACAACATGCCGTTGTTGTAAGATATTCAACAATAAGCTTAACAGCACAAATGACACATTGCCTGAATGTATCATGGATAATGCTATATTTTTGTAACTTGTAAGGCACGCACCCAAACAAAGCATCTAACGAAACAAGGACTACAAGACTGCATCTTCACGTGAATGGGATCATGCGTTTCATCATAAACGCGTTTGTCTTGTGTTAGAAGGGAAATGTTGGCAGTAGTTCGGCTTAAGCACACTGATGATCATGATGATGATGATGGCGTTGATGGTGAAACGCACGAGTTTAGGGTGTGTATGCTTTTGAGGCTCGGGACCCTTTCTGGGCTGGTTTAAAAAGGATACCAAACAGGCAAACCGGACCATGGGCGAATTCCTACATTGACATGTATGCGTTCAAGTCTTGCTGCCTAGCCCCCTCCTTCACAACCCCTTGGGATGTGGTTAACACGACTGGCACTCAGCCTAGGCGAAGCTGGCAAGTACTTGCGCCTCAAGGCACGTGTTTCGCAGGCGGCAAAGATGTCAATCTGACGCCGAAATCGTTGCCCAGATTTCACCTCGCCCCCAGAAATGGCGAGGGTATTTTCCTATGGGGACCATCTGCAAAGGTGGTTGGTGGACATAAATTCCAAGTGAATGATGTCCACCAAGAGGATCTGCAGCTACAGATCATTTTTCAGATGGCATTGAACGCAACTCGTATATCCCACAAAGGTGCTAAGTTGCAGACCTCCAATAAAGCGATCCAGATCCGTTGATTGGTTTCCGGGCACCATGGTCCCCTTTGAAATGAGCAAGAGACAACGTTGACGTTTACCATCATCTGCTTGTATGTAGTACATTGGACGGCATGCCCCAGATTACATTCGACAATGGGTTTGTTACTACAATTGGGGTCACCACGACGATTGACAGTACCCAGTGGTGGACATCATTTACATGGAGATTTATGTCCACCGACCATTCGGAGATGCCCATTGAAAATAATAGCCGCACCTGAGTTTCCAATGCACTCCCAAACGAGTTTTCCAACTTTGAGGCAACATCCATGCTGCGTGTCCAAAGTAGGCCCGCTTTTGGGGTCAGTCTGAAAAGGCAGGTCCTTTTCATGAGGACCCTCGCAAGGAACAGCGTGTTTTCAGGATTGCTTCCCTTGCCAACCTACGCTTCGACAAGTACATGTTATCGTTTGTTTTCATCAGAGGATCGGCATATTTGATGGCGAGCTTACGGGGTAAAATGTGATGACGGTCCTTGCTTTGGGATCCCTGGTTTCCGGCTTTGGAATTGTAGAATTGTCACCCTCGAGGATTGTCCTTCAGTCCCTTCATCTCGCATGTCCTTTTATTTTGATATATTGTGCTCATTCGAACTGAGGTACAGAGCCTGTTTAGCACATCACAGGATGCTTACATCTCAGACACTTCCGTGTCACTTATTTTCTGACTTGCAACCCCTTGTTCAATGCATTTGGGGTGTCCTCAGAACAATTTTACTGTTTAACGACGAGACATAATCAGAACATTTGTGTACCCCAGAGTTGGTAAAGAGCTGTTTTGTGTTTCCGCTCGTTCTCTTATTTTCAAAGTTATAGTGTTGCAGGTACAGTTCCTAGCATTCGCCCTTTTCTTTGGCGGTGCCGAGTTTGGATTCTCTCACGAAAAGGGTGTTTTTACCCTCTGCAAATTGGAGAGTTTCCCTTTCCAGGTCCCTTTGCAGCCTTTTGGCCGGCGGTTATTTTTGGAATTCCAGGAGGACGTGTCCAAGGGCCAGCTGGCGCTGCAGTGTCTGCGCTGCCCCGCCGGCCGCTTCTCCCTGGGGGGCGGGCAGTACCTGGACGGCTCCGTGGGCGACTGGGGCAAGCCCTGGCCCGCAGGCGAGCGCCCATGCGGCCGAGAGGTTTTGAGGGTGCCCTGCCGGGTGGTTGTAAAGGGAAACCAAAGAGGCAGCCAACCATGTTGGGGAGCCCCCTGTTTTGAGACAAACCCATAATTTGCAGAATAAGACCTTAAAAGGGCAACTGGAGAAGATGGTTGCAAAATGAAGGGGGAGGGAGGCAATCGTCATTCCTTACTCAACCATTTCCACCAGTTGCATCCATTCACACCGTCACTAGCACCACAACTCGTGTAATTATGTGTCAAACTGGATCCCTCAACATGGATCTCTGTTTTTTTCCAGTTGCTTTACCTTTCAACTAACCTACCAAACCTCGGCTCGGGGATTTGAACCCCATCTTGTAGAGAATGAGAACTGCCCAGCTCCAAACCACCCAAGAGGGAAGCGGACGCCCTGCAAATACGGGGACAGGCCTCACAACCTCCTGCCTCTACCGCGGCAGCGACAGCCAGTGGTCGCTGGGCGGCGGTGCTCGGCTCGCCTGCCTGCTGCACGTGCACACCACCGGACCAGAGGCAGGATTCCATAAGTTTTTAGGTTACCCTCTTGTCCACTAACATGGAACGCAGCAGAGAGTCCCTTTTAAAGGAAATTCTTTTTCAGACCCCCTCAGTCAGGTTCCATGTTAGTGGACAGGAGCTTACGTTGATCAGAAATAGATGTATTCCACTGCTTCAGACCGGAAGCCCATCCATTTTTCCGAAAACCACATTAAAAATAAAAAACTTTCTTCCTAAAACCTCAACCCCGCCCGGGGAGAGCTGAGTGCCGCGCTTTTTTTTCCCTTTAGGAGCTGCGCCTGGAGACCCGGGCGAGCACCTGGAACCAGGACTTGCCGGAGCAGGATCTGGAGGCCGGCCTCGCCTTTCGCGCCTTTCGAAAAGCCATGCGCCGGCTGGGCGCCCTTTTTCTTTGTGGGGTGGGGTGGCTTTTCTGGGTTGTTTGTTGATGGTGTGGTGTTGCTTTTTTGTTTTGTTTTGTGTGCGTGTGTGTGTGTGTCTTTTGGGTTTTTGAAACGAGCGCTTTGCGTTTGGCGTCGCCAGGGAATGTTAACCCTTCTGAGCAACGTTTGCGTTTTGCTTCAGAGCGGGTTGGATATGGTTCAACTAACTATGATGGACATATTCAGTTCTGGACAGCGCGTTTTTGCCGGGCTCCGGAAGCACCTGTGTTCAAGACAGCGACTTGAGACCTTTGAATTCCATGGACTGCAAGGCCATGTGATGTTCAAACAGCTTGAATCTGTTCAATGTCATTGGGCCTATCACCTGACCCCACAGCATGGATCTATTTGAAGCGAGCATCCGACACATGAGTTCTCGGCTGGACTGAAATCGCCATGGGCCAGTCCTTCTTAGAGGGGATGTGTATTTTCTCCCTCTTTTTCACGAACATGCAATCCGACTGGGGCGGGGGAAGGTTGAAAAACAGTTTTCCTCTGAACCTCTCGTGGGTTGCATGTTGGTGGCCCGGAGGATATTGCGAAAACTCATGGGTGCTGCCGCAACTGGCTTCTTGGAATCTTGCTCAGTGCTCCCCTGGCATTTGTTGAGAAGGGTATTTGCCATGCTTTGCTTATTGTTTTGAGAAACTGGATAACGGAGTGTTTGCAGGACCTTGGTCCAACCCTGTCCCGATATGTAGATGAGTGTGCTTGCCAGAGATGTAGACATAGAACTGTGTCTGGTCTTTGTGCATGTGCGTGCATGTGCGAGTGTGTCTGTATATATGTCACTGACTCCACAAGTCAGAAAGAAGAGGACATCAAGCACCAAGCTTTTTGGTATTTGAGCCATGCTCAGCATGAATCAGTTTGCTTTTGGGGGTTCGGAGGAGCAGTGGGAAGTCAGTGGGAAGCCCCGTCAAAGGGTAGGGCAACAGTTTTTGGTCATGCCGCATGTTATTTAGGCTTCTCTGCACAGTGGTATTCTTCTCCCAGCCAGAACCCGGAATGTTTGTCGCGAAAATGACACCTATTATTCAGTTGGCAATGTTTGGATTGTGGGTGTTATGCACACGACAAGCTTTAGGTGTTGGACGTCTACCAGAAGCCGTGAGCAGTATGTATCATATTCATTTTTTAGCATGCTTCTCCCTGAAGCTCAGGTGGTACTGGGACTCCGGATGAACAAACCTCGGGGTGATGAGAGGGGGGTGTCCCATGTGGATATCCTTCATATTTGGGGGAAACCCTCCCGTATGAATCCACCAGCTTGTTTTATCCGGGTCGACCTCATTCCCGAATCCTGCGCTTGAGAATCAGGTTGGGTTGACCTTCCATGGCGCCTGAAAGATCCAAGTGGCGAAAAAGTGGCGAAACCCCAAAATGGAGCTGGCCCGGTCCGGTTTGCAATTCTTTGCAAAACGGTAGATAACTGAACTGATCAACTCTCACAAGGGTTGCTGCAGAACTCAGACTTCGGCGGCCCTCGGGCGCCTCAAGTTTGAGGCGCCTCTGGCGATCACGTCCTCGTTGGCTTGCGCGCCCTTGAACGCTTCGCTCCGGAACTCGGCGGTGCTGGTTCTTCGGGGCACCTGCGCCTTCAGTGTCAAGGCGAAGCATTTGGCGGATGCGGGGGCCAAAGCCGTGGTGGTCTACAACAACCTCTACAACAGCACCTCGGTCTCGTCGGACATGTTTTGTTCATGTTATAGGGACTAGATCAAACGGTTGCTTGTATTTTTCGTTTTCTGAATTGAGGGAGAATAGTGCAAGGGAAATCGGGGGAGAAATCCGGGGGGCTGAGAAATCTGTTTGTTAGAGGTCGGGTGTTTGGGTGTGTTTTCGCTGTTTTACTTCGAGACTTGCAGCCGACTGATTCATGGGACGCCTAGTCGAGGGATCACGTGGAAGCTCTCCAAGGTTGCCCTGCAGAGCGTGTTTGGCTGCTCCGTTGTTGTGCTTTTGATTGGGCTATTTGCTACTGAAGGCCTGGTTTTGCTGGTTTTCCATCCTCATGGCTCATCGCTGAGGCCCTTACTTCTATCCGGCTGCTGCCCCCAACACCACCAAGCCTGTCATCCCGATGTTCATGGTGACCCGCGAGGACGGCGAGCGCATCATCGCCGCAGAGGGCACTTTGACGCTGCACGTGCCCAGCACTCGTTGCAGTCTGGATACCCGTGAGGTGGCGCCAAACAGAAACCCAGTTGATTAGTGGTGCCCCGTTTTCCGGATTTGTCCCCTTTGGATGTGGTTCAAAATTAAACGGCTGGGGTTCCTCAGTTTTTAGTCTTGGTCTCCATATACCAAGGTGCCGTGTTGGGTGCCATCTGTTGAGCCTCAGCCATTTTTTTTTTTAGAAACAAGCAAACTCAAGCAAGAAATTGTTTGGGTGCCTTTTCCCACGGTAGGGGTTTCGGGTTTCCATACCCAGCCCATTTGTTTGCTTCCGCTGAGGAAGCGAAGGCAACGCAAGTAGCCCGGCCGACTCCTGGGAAGCAGCCTCCGACAAGGGCTGCGCACATTGGACTGCGGATCCCAGCGGCGGCTTCTTGCACTCAGGCCAGGGATATGTACCTGAAGATGGAAACCAAAAGAACAACCAGGATTTGTGTTGTCCCGCTATTTTCAGGTGTTTTTTTTTTTGGGGGGGTCTGTATGCGTCCAAGAAGGGGGCAGCCCACAATGGGGGGAGTCCAAACACAAAGAGTTGTGTCGTTTTTGACAATTCCAAATCACCACGTTGACCATCCCAAATCACGTTTTAGCTATTTTCATTTTATTTTTCTCGGGGGCTTCGGTATGCGTGGGCAGCCCACAATGGGGGGAGTCCAAAAACAACGAGGTGTGTCGTTTTTGAGAATCCAAAATCACGTTTTTGCTATTTTCTTGTTTTGGGGTTGCCCGTATGACCCTCATCAAAACACACGTCCACAAGTTTGGGACCGATTGAGGCATGATTGGTTGCCTTCATGTGCATGTCCTTGGGCCTACTGGACTCTGGACCCCACATGTTTGGTTGGCGAATACGTCCAATTGAGGGCGTGGCGGCATGGCTAGGAGACAACCGCGGCTTCCATTGGCTCTTCTCCTTCCTCACCTTCTCGGCTCGCTTCGTGCGGGACGGGTACCTGCGCTTCCGCTACGGGGTGGATGCGGAGCAGGTTGGGTTCAACCTGTTGAAAGCGTTGAAACACCTGGGCGGTTGTCGAAATTCGGGGCCCGTGGTGGTGTCCCCTTTAAAAGGCGGCACGCGCAAGGGTCCAAAAGGGCCATATTTTCACCAGCCCCCCACCTATTGCTTAAGCAACCTCCGGTTGGTTGCCCTTTAAAGTTGGTGCAGGGCTACGACGGCTTGATCTTCGAGATGGACGGCCAGGCCATCTGGAACAAAACCATCTCGCAAGCCCCGCCCTGGCGGGAGTTCCGGCTGGAGGCGCCTTGTCAAAGCTTTTTTTTGCGTGTGTTTGCTTCCTGTTTCGTTATTGCTTTCTTGATTTCTTGCTTGCTTTCTTGCTTTGTTGCTTTCTTGCTTTCTTGCTTTCTTGCTTTCTTGCTTTCTCGCTCGCTTGCTCGCTCGCTCGGTTGCTTTCTTGCTCGATCGCTTGCTTGCTTGCTTGCTTGCTTGCTTGCTTGCTTGCTTGCTTGCTTGCTTGCTTGCTTGCTTGCTTGCTTGCTTGCTTGCTTGCTTGCTTGCTTGCTTGCTTGCTTGCTTTTTGTTTGCTTGCTTGGTCTCCAAGGTGGGCAACCACAGGATCACACGACGTGTTCCATTGCGTACTGAAAGTTGCGCCGTGCTGTCACAATCAGCAGACTCTTTCGAAACCAACTGTCAAACGCGTGTTTTACTTGTTGTCTTGCGCGGTGGCAAGACCCAACATGAAGATAATATGATTCATATGAATTGTCAAATCTTTGGCCTGGTAGGCCGCTCAAACGTGACAAAGTTGAAAGATCACGGATTCCTAGCAGGTGATTTTCGTCCAGATTCTAGGGAGCGCATTGAGGGGTGCAACTTTCCACTCTTTCATGGAACCAGCGGTCTCAACCGCCCAAGTCCTGGCACAAGGTCACACGCCTGGAGACCTTCTGCATGACCAGGGCCCAGCCCCAAATGGTCTTTGTTGCATTTTGCTTGGATGTTAGGACTTTAACTTTTTGCCAACTAATGGGTTTTCCATTAAACCACTACAAGTTAAACTTTTAGCAGGGGAGCAGAAAGCAACTGAGTGATATGTACAAGAGGGCGCGCCCCCTTCGGATGCTTTCCCCGCCATTCCCCGCCGCTTTCTTCTGCCAAAAGCGGCTCGCAGGTGCCCCGCGGGGCTCATAGCTTCACCTGGACCTTCAAGAAGGTGCCGACACGTTTCGGGTTTTGAGGCTTGATAGCTCTAGCGCGCACATAACTTGGAACACAACAGCATGCACAAATCCACGGTCGTTTCAAATAACCCATGGTTGATGTCACCGAAAGGCAAGCCTAAGGTGATGACCATGCTTCCCTGTTTGAAGGGAAAGCAGAGGCAAGGCATCTCATCCGAGCGAGCTTGCCCAACTGGGCTATTTAATGTACCCTCCCTCCACCAATCATGGAAGCTCACGGAGCGTTGCGTTCCTTGGGGGGGGGGGTTCGCTTCCATGGCTCGACAGAGAGCGCACGATTGAGCCTTCAACCTTGTCAAGACTGGTTCAAGATTGATTGTGTTCATCTCGCAAGAGGATGCGCACGCCAGGCACCAGGTGGTGGGTTGTCCCAGTATTAGGGGTTTGTCAATTTCAATTGGTGCAAGACATGTTTCGTAGGATGTGGGCACCGCGAATCGGGCCTCTCGTTGAAAAGGCGTTTCGCGAAGAGGTGGTTTTGCGGGCTATTTGGTCATACTGTCAGACGGTCAAATCCTGTATCTGCTGGGATGGATGAACCCTATGGGATAAACCCCCAATCCCCACTGGTGCCTGTCGTGGATGTTGTCCACAGTATCTTGGAACCCTAAACAACCCACGTGTTTTGGGTGCTCCCCTATGTCAAGACACATTTCCATTGGCAGCAACCGTTTGCTTGCAGTTCAGCGAGCCCTAACTTGTGTTCGTCCGTTGCAACTGTTTAAAGGCACACCCACTCAAAGCGAACCGACCTTTGGACCTTGCGACCTTTTCCCATGTTCGTTCTTGTTTTAGTCGAGGTCCCAAAGGTGATCGTTTAAGACACACCCAAATGGAAATGAGATGTTGATGGGGGAGCTTAATTATGGTGGACATCAAAGTTCAGTGGGGATTTGTGTCCACCACTTTTGAGGTGGTTCCCTATTAAGTTTCCCAGCCATTGAGCACCAGCGGTTAAGTTATAGCACCTTCAGCGCAAGCGCCAGGATTTCAGCACCAGCAGCGGTGAGGACCGCGCGCGCCTGCAACTCCTGGAGCTCTCAGGCACCGTCCTTTCGACGCTTCGACGCGCGCGCGCTCGGCTCGGGGCTCGGGGCTCGGGGCTCGGGGCTCGGGGCTCGGGGCTCGGGGCTCGGGGCTCGGGGCTCGGGGCTCGGCCGTCCCGATTTGGTTCTGGCCTGGTATTGTCTGGGATGGTCAGGTTTAAAGTTTAATATGGTTTGGTGTTGGAGTTGCTTTGGTTTGGTATGTTTTGTTGGCACTGGCTTTCGACTGGCAGGCAGCATTTGCCAAGTATTTGCCTGGATATGCCTGGATGAAACGTAGGGTAAGTGACTTGCTTTGGGTTACCCACTGCTTATTTAGCTCCCAATAAAGGGTGAGTCCTTTTCAATCATTGGGTATCGGTCCCAAGGACAGGAGGTGCCTTGATGACGCTAGTCTTCAAGAAACAGGGTTGGGGAAAGTTTATTCAAGAAACCGGCCAAATCAGGAAGAGGTTCAGTTTAAACACGTTTGAACTGGTGCCTGGTGCAAAGCCCTCCTGTCAACTTCCATGATTACAAAGGGTACATACAATGCCAATCCCTGAGAAGGTTATCAATCATGTTGTTTTCCTTTATAAGAAAGGAATCCAATGAAGGGACCACCCCGACGTAGAACTGAGGGTCAAGTTTGACTCATTCATTGACGGAGGAGGGCTTCGGACCGCCAACCTGCGCATTAATTGAAACAGGTTGCAACCAGTCAGTCGCAATATGTGCTGAAACAACCATGGCCACCTGAAAAAATGAGAATATCGAAAGCTGGCTGGTCGCAAAATTGGACAGCCGGGAAGGGGGAAGAAAAGGAGGTTGCCCAAGCCGCCATGAGACATCAGATTGACATGACCCCAAAAAGGGTTCCATATTCTTGAGGCATTGCTTTTTGCAGTCCTTTTTGGGTTCCAGCTAATTTGCGGAGTAAGACATGCCAACTGACGCCCATTTTGTTTAAACAGCTTTCGCATGTGTTTCTTCTTTTCAAGCGGCCAGGGCGGTTTTTTCCAACGAAACACAACCAGCCCGAACCGCCCTTGGCTTTTCCGAGAGGTGTCGGTCTTTCTTCCAGCGGCTCCGCGCTCGCTCGCTCAAACCGCGCGCGGTTTCGAGGCTCGGGGCACGGGGACCTGTCCTGCCGCAGCTGCTCGGTGCTGAGTAGCCCGGGGTCCACCCGGTGCCAGGGATGCGGCGCCTCGGACGAAGCCAAGCTCACCACATCTCTCAGTAGCGTTTTCATGGTTGTTGTTGGGAAACAATTTACGTTTTTGCTTGTTGTGGTTTAGTGGGAAACCCCCACATGGCCAGCCAAAAGGAGGGTGTTTGAAAAGTAGTGGTCCAGCAAGGGTTCGCTCCTTCCTCAAAACTGGCCCCAAGAAAAAGGCTTCCATCTCTGTTTTTACCCTTCAAGTCAATTTTCACTGGGTTGAACGGAAGTTCGCACTTTCCTGCTCCAACTGAGCCCACAACGTGTTCGAATTCTTTGCTACCGCACGGGAAGCCAACCAAGTGGGCTGCAGGAACCAAGCACTTGCCACATGGTCCCCTAAAGAGCACGTCCAAACGAACGAACCCACCTTCAGCGGCTTCGGATCCCCTTGTAAAGAAGCTTTAGAAGGATGCGTCCACTTCCCTCATTCCCCTTCCACCTTCGACTCACTCCGTGACTCCGTGACTCCGTGAGTCGACGTGACGTCTGATGCAGGCCGGGACTCCTTCGCGGAAGTCCTGCCCTCGGGGCGCGTGAGCTGCCAACTCTGCCCCAACGGCACCTGGGCGCCGCCCAGTTCCATGGGGCCCGAGGCCTGCCAGGCGCGAAATGGCGGACGTGGGCGCACGAAACGGGGGGTGAACCTTGGGTTAAATGGTTAAACACGGCCTGGAGAGGGGGTGTGGTGCTTCAAAGAGGGCAGATATTTTTCCCCCAGAATTGGGGGTGCTTATGAGAAGTTTCAAGAGTTTTACCCCTAGAATTGCTGGACGGTTTAGCAACACGCGAACAAGGAGGGCCCCAATTTGCGGAAACGCACGAATTGGGATAAGGCGTAGCAAAAGGCACAGAAGTGTTCTTCGCCTGATGGAGAGGTTCCACTTTGAAGTTTAATGGTGTGCGTTGTTTGAGTTGAGGCTGGCATTTGAGAAGCTCTGTCAATCCTTCCCAATTTGCATCACACCCGTTGCGAGACAATGGCCGTCCTGGAAATCGTGAGCCCCTCTTAATTGGGTGTGTCTCTTTTCGAGGGATCCTTTTTCTACTGGTCTTCAAGGGAAACCGCCCATTTTGGGGGTCCCCTGACGGTCACACGCATTTAGAGTATGGTCCTTGAGAGCCACACCAAGCAAGCCGAATGAGCCGAAGCGAGCAATGCATCTGGCCCCAGGCTCGCAGGGAGTGCACGGCCCAGGATGCGGTGGTGGTCTACCGCGCAGAGAATGGCCAGGTGGGCCAAACGGACATGGCCGCGGGTCAAAACCAAAGGTGCACCACCCATTTTAGTCTATTGTAGTGGGAATTGGGATGTTCACTGGGGGTACGGGATTTTGACCCATGGCCACATGTCGGTTTCTGACCCGCGTCTAAACTTCCAGAAAACTGGCGGAGAGTAGGCTGAAACCGCGCTTTGCCGAGATGAACTTTGAATTGCCCGCGGATGAGTGAACATGTACAGTTGGAGGATGTATGTTCAATTATGCAAGCAACCAAATATTAATATATGTATACACATGTGCCTCTCTATGAAATGCATGGTTGCAACTTTGAATTCATTCAATACTCGTGTTCAGTACGCCTCTGCATGGGATGGATACAGCGTTTCCTCCGCCAAGCAATGCATTTCAAGCCAGAAAAAGCGATTGTCACGACGCTTGGACTGTTGACCCCCTTATTCTAGTCCAATGGATGGTCAAGGAGGTTCCTCGGTTTTACTCAGGCCAGGGTCATCCATGTGGATGAATCCGCGCCACCAGCGCTGGAGAGGTGGCTTGCTCCGGCAACACCACCAGCGCGAATGTTCTCTGGCGCCAGCCGCAGACCTGCATCAGCCAGCGCACTGCACAGCAGGCACGGCCAAAGAAGGATGTCGCAGCAGCCGCCTTTTAGCGGGGATTGCCCCAAAAATGACTGATTTTGGCAAATCCCCACAGGAGGGACAATCAAAACCTGGGTAGGTGAAGGGCAGTAATTAAGGGACTCCCAGGCGGAAATGAGGAAGTCCGCCTTCTTTTGTTTCACGTGGCTTTGGGGACACCACTTTGGTGCGAAGCGTTGATTGTGACTCAGATGCACACTAGTCAGACACTGCCCCACGAGAATAGAGCGACAAACTGACACACACACACACACACCCACACACACCCACACCCACACCCACACCCACACCCACACCCACACCCACACCCACACCCACACCCACACGCACACGCACACGCACACGCACACGCACACGCACACGCACACGCACACGCACACGCACACGCACACGCACACGCACACGCACACGCACACGCACACGCACACGCACACACACACACACACACACACACACACACACACACACACACACACACACACACACACACACACACACACACACACACACACACACACACACACACACACACACACACACACACACACACACACACACACACACACACACACACACACACACACACACACACACACACACACACACACACACACACACACACACACACACACACACACACACACACACACACACACACACACACACACACACACACACACACACACACACACACACACACACACACACACACACACACACACACACACACACACAGCACATTTGAGGCAGACACACGCTGGTCCTGGTTAGAAACATTCATACGAGGCAAGCAGCACACCCACACAGACGCAACCAGACATACACAACAAAACTAACACTATCACCAAGGACCCACACTCAAACTCGAACTAACGCACTAAGCGTATCGCATGCGCACGGGCGCACATGAGCCGGTATTTGGCTTTTCTCGTGCAGTGTCGGGATGGCGTTCACAGACTTCGGAGGCTGTACCCTGAACCGGCTTTCATCATGTGTGACTAAATCCGTACCTTGCAGCAGTAAATGTTATGCATCCTCCTTTTCGAGTAGTCGCCAAGCACATTCCTGTTTGAGGACAAACAAAAGGCAAGCAAATCGAGTCAACTTTTGTGTGTCAGCTGGTGGCGTTCTTCCGAACAACTCTGGCCCCCAGCCTTACGCCACTCTATATGGCTTTGGGGTCAGGCATTGGGTGCTTGTCCAGGGTTTCCCCAGCGCATTTCATTGAGTTCATTGAGTACAGTTACAACACGTTAGCATCACATTTAGCGAGTAAATATATATATATATATATATATTTGAGGGTACACTTTGAACACAACGGGAACCCCATCCATTTAAGGGTTTCCCTACTTAAACACGCAGACCCAAGTCTACAGAGCCAAATGCACTCTAGTACAAATTTGGATTTTGTTCCTCGGCCAAATCCGGAGGTTGCGGGGCTCGGCAAGAAGGTCACCTGCCCGCCCTGCCAGCCGTACATGTGGCGGCCCTCGGGCAGTCGCTGCGCCAACCGCCCAGCGAGGCCCTGCGCTGCGCCCAAGTACGCCATGCCGCGCCTCGGTTTTCGGTCGAGCGAGCCGTGGAGCCGTTGACCTGGGACTATGGACTGCACGTCTTGTTTTTGGGGGTGTCGCTTGGTTTTTAGGCGACCCCAGGACCCCCCCAATGGCCTCCATGTTCCGCTTGGTGTCCGTTTAAAAACAACCAAACCAGGGACCCTTAAAGAAGGCGCACCCATTTCGGGTTTGCTTTTAAGACAGGCAGATGATCTGGCTTCCTTTGCCTTCCCTTTAAAGCCCCCAACACGGGTATTCTCCAAAACACAAACATGATATTGCTTGGCTGCACAGGTTGGTCTGACCTCTTATTTCTCAAACCTTGAATATGTTTCCCTACAAAAATTGCTAGTTCACTTGCGAGCAGTTTAGACTTGAGACCATTGGCGGGGGCCTATGCCATTGGCAGGGGTCAGGCAGACAGGGACCGGAAAGGCTCTCCAACTTTCTTGGGCACTTGCCCGCTACCCCTCGATTTGTGCAATTGTAACGCCAAACGAACAATTTGCCAAATTCTGCCTGGGTCGGTTCTTGTAGCCCGAACAGCCAAATTGTCACAACACGGTTCTGTACGGTTCCGAACGCTCTAGAACGACTTGCGAACGCTTTTTGAACGCCTTTGACGGCATTTTGAACGCTTCTTGGGCTGCAAGGGTTTCAAACGGTTTGGAACGGTCTCAATGAGCAAGTAGCACCAGTGTTACAATTGTAACAACAGCGATCAATTTGTGCAAATGTACCGTTTGGTGTTATACATGTACAAATACGGGGGAAGCAGGCACCTACCGGGGAGGGCCATGATAAGAATGGAGGGGCCTCAAAGCCCCAGGCCTCAAGTGCTGCACTTTCTGCTTTGGGAGGCCGACTTCTGGGAGGCGTTTTTTTTTCTTCATGTGAGCCACAATCAAAACCCGGGTAGATGAACGCTAAGGGACAATCCCAAGCATAAATAGTTGCGGCCGCCTTCTTGATTCTCTACGTGGTTCTGGGTAGACCATTTTGATACCGGGCTTTGATTATGATTCATGTGGAGAGTCTGGGCGCGACTGAGGATCAGCTTGGTGAAGTACTGGCACTTGTGGCCCAGGAACTTCACCTCTTGGATCTGGGGGGAGGCCTGAGAAATCATGAGAAATCCATCCGAAGGTTAGACAACATGCCCAACAGGTGCGGAAGTCGAATCACCCCCTTGATTTGTTGACATGATCTTGGGCAGTCCCCATTTGTGCCAGGTCTTGTTTGTTTACTTAGTAGCCAGGGTCTGGTGGGTGACTGGGACTTCCCTACCACATTGCTGAAGCTTTGGTTTGGTGCAGTTTAGGGGCATAGGTGGCCATAAATCGTTTAGCTTGGCTGAATATCAGTGTTCCGCTGGTTTGAGTTTGGGAATTCATCGATTTGTCCAAAACGACACCTGGTCTAGGGGGCCAGGTTTATGTAGTTTGAATGAGCGCAGCTTTGTGTTTATTGAGAGGGGATACGTTTGCGGGATTGGTCGGTTTGTCCCAACACATGGGGGATGGCATTTTTGGTAATCATGGTATCTCCTTTTTGAAGAGACGCAGCTTTGGTTGTATTGTAGTGTTCCCCGTGGTCATCAATCCGTGATTCTCCATTTCAGCAGGGGCTCACAAACAGGATCCCCACTATGGCAAACTTCTTCAGGGTTTCCCCAAGGGCGTATTCAAAGGCTTGCCCATCATACCATCTGCTCTGGCAAGGAGGGCAGAGACAAGGACGTCAGGCAGAGTCAGACTCTTCAACAATCAAAGACATACCGTGCGCGCGACCACAGAGTACTGCAACTGAGAGGGCAAGGTCAGAGGTCCGCGCACGCCCCGCCCTCACCAAGAGGAAACTTTTGGAACCATTCCTTTGATTCCATCCCTGCCCCCTTTGTTGTGTGTGTGACCAAGTGTTTCGATTGTCTCTGCCGGCGGATCTGTGGCAGCTTCACGTGAGGCGGAGACACGAAACAATTGGTCACACCCCGCTACCCCCCGCCCTGTTGCTTTGGGGGAAACCATGGAGGCAGAGAATACAAGGCCAGATCTTCTTCACGTATGGATTTGTTTTCTCCTGCATCAGTGAATGGTTCCCCTATTCTTCCTCATATTTCCATGTATGATCTTCCAAGGTTTGTGCTGGATATCAAGGATTCATAACATATTGGTGTGTCCTTTTTGAAGGACCCCATTTTTTGATTTTTACATGTTTTAGAGGGAGCCCAACACCAATAATGCTTTTTTATTTGGTGAGTCCCCTAGAAAAAAGAGACACCCATTGGCGTGCGATTAGAAATGTGAGGTGAAGGAAGAAGAGCAGCCGCATGCCTGGCAGCTGGCTCCGGATGGCCAAGCCACAGTAGTGGGTTCCGCCTTTCTCGGGGAGGAGGCCGCGGGGGGTGGGGAATTTGGGACTGACGGTGCGGAACGGGTTCCGAGCTACGGTTCAAAGCAGATAGTGGGTAAGAGGGGTGGGAGGCGGCCAAACCAATGTGAAGTATGTGCCATTTGCTCTCACCCAAACAGAAAAGCGAACTCCTCAGCCACCAGCCAGTTGTCACCTCGGTGAGCTCATTTTCCGATGGGGTCCTCAGTCGAGGATGTCGAGGTTTGGAATCCGAATCTTTTTTGCAGATGGGTTGCGGCGTGCCCACCCCCCAAGCACCCCTGCTGGATTTGAACCGCTTTCGTGGTGGTTGGTCACACATCCTATCATCCACCGTTTGTGGAGCGCCTCTTTGAGCCGAATCCCGTAAAACAACGCGAGCAATCCCCCCCACGGACCAGTAGGGTTTCGCTCATATGTGTGGATAAACCAACCCAACAGGAGCCCTCCACTGACAGGTGCAAGCTCGAGCAGACCAAGCCTTGTTGACCTACGACGTGACGCTCCTCGGTTTAGTCACTGTGGTTCCGACTGTTGGGTGTGATTTGATTCGAATGGAGCGCAAGCCAAAGTGAAGACTTATGAGCGACCGTCTCGTCAAGGATCGAAGCAGTCTGACTCAGGCACGAGAATCCAACCAAAAGAGGAAACACACAAATTGACTCAAGGAAGTCACCAACCAACCAAAAACAACAATTCTGGGTCGGCAAAGTCTGACAGACACGTCTCTAGGCTCGTGAGTTCTGGGGAGCTGACCTTCGTGTTGGAGGAGCGGCCCGTGGGCGCCTGGTCTTCCGCCGGCGCCTTGTACGTGGACCACGCGCCAAGAGTGCCGCAGGTGGTGCCCGGGCTCTCACCGGACGGTTTTGAGGCTCACGCTGTCTACCCTCCCAATTCACATGAAACCTGGACCTGGGGTTCCTGGAAGACCATTTTCCTTTTAAAGGGACCCCCATGTCAGGTTCCATGAAATTGGTGGGAGGGTAAAAAGAGAACCGACAAGAAAACCGCGACCATTCTTTGGGTCTCAATGTGACATATTTCGACCTCTGGAGATCTTATTTATACCGCCACCACCCCCTTCCCGCGTTTTGATGGCCGAGATCTCATCTTGTCTCTCGGAACGCTAGTGAATGAATTGATTGCACTTTAAAAACACTAACCACTGGTAGCATGGGTTCAGTCTGCTTTGACGCACGGCCATGTATCGCAGCCCCGATTGAGGTTTCCAGGAACGGGTTGCTGCACTGCACGCTGTGGCTGGACGCGGGATGGCATTGGATCACGTGGGTCTGGCGCTACAGCGGCCTCGAGGAGCAGGCCGCCGATGGCATCGATGGCCAGGCGGCCGGAGGCTCTGGCCTCCGGCTGCTGAACGTGTCGGTGACCAACGTCCAGGGCGCCCTCGGCTCGAAGAGAGGCAGCCAGGGCGCTCAGGCCGCTTTGCGCCGCCCCGTTGGGGGGGTTTGATATTAAAACGCTGAAGTATAGACGAAATACCACATTCTGGCAGGGGACCTTGAAGTAGCCTCAATCTGAAAGCCCGAAAGCAAGCTTATATCTTTCTCCGCTGTGGCGCGAATTTGGATGGAAGAGTGGGCCCGCTTTTGATAGCCCGCCCGAAGGCTCGCAACAAACAAACTCGAGCATCGCCGCGGGAGGGTGGACCCTGCGCTGGAAGAAGCCGAGTTTGCGCTACGTAGAGTTGTTGCGAAACGGCAGCGACACATATCGTAAGAAACATCGGCAAGTGCCGGCGCGCGAGTGTTGCTTGGTCCTCAGCTTTCAAGGCCTGTTCAGAAACGTTCTGAATCCAATCGCGCCCATGTGCAGCTTGCAATGCACCAACAGGCTAGCTGCACGTGCGGGGTGTTAAGGTAGCAAGATGTAGCAAGATTTCACGGCTATTTTGAGGATGCCCATTCGAGCAATGTACAGTATAATATGCGCTCCGCATGTTTACATGCTATGCTCCAATACTATATTGAAAAGTTCACGCGCCCCTGCCATCCGGTCTGTGCGGCCCGTGCCCTATACCCATCTAGTGTGTTTTGTTTGGATAGTAGATGTTGTTATGTCCCTTGCCATTTTTCACAGCCAGCTTCATTGTTTTCTTCATGCCGTTTTCATTCTTGGCCTTTCCTGATATGGGTGTGGCTCAAAATTAAGCAACTGCGGTTACACAGGTCTTAGTCTTTGTTTCCATTTGCCAAGGTGCCATTTTGGGTCCAAGCCTCCGCAAAGTCTTTGAGGCGCTCCCCGCGGCCCGTGCCAACTCTGCCCCGACGGCCACGGCTTGGACGACGCGGCAAGGAGTTGCAGGCGGTCAATGGCCCAAAAGAAACGTATCCTACGTCCATTAGTGCCCTTTTACCAACTTTTTTGGGGGAGGGTTCCCCTACTAAAATAGACTACAGAAAAAAGGGTACCCTTATATTATTCTAACCTCTCTACTGGAGGACCTAGTAACCTATGCAGTTTCCAGCCGTCCAGTTCCCTAGATTTTCAGGCTTTTACTGTAATTGGTTTGGTGGGTGTGTGCGTTTAACCCACTAAAAGTCATTTTTTAGCAGGGGATCTAAGGACAGCCCAGTATCGGGGTCCTTATGTTGACCGTTCTAGGGGGGTAAAGTCAGACACTGGGGGTATTGCTTTCGTTTACCTATCACTTATACAAACTTGACTTCGACATTGAAGCCGTTGCGAAATGCATCAATGTCAACTTGCAGGGTGAAGTCGAGGGTTCTTCAAAGTCAAATCTTCCCCATGCGTGTTTTAACATGGAACCTGAAAAGAGGGTCCTGCAAGATGGAGTTCTGGTCCATGTAAATTTGCAGGAGCGCAACCCTTCTGCCAGATGGTCATGGCTTCCGTTGCAGTGAGGACCCAGTTCGGATTCCCGATTTCTAGGGGGCAAGCTTTCATTTGGGGGTGGTGTTCCTGAAAACTTCAATTCAGAGGCGAGTTTTGAGGAGGTCAATTCAATAGATAAGACTCCAGGGCCTTTTTCTTTGAGAAGGCCAGGGGAGTCCCTTTAGTCATCAAGTGGGGAGGATCCACGTCACAAGGTAGTGGTTCATGGGGCTGCCGCTTTGAAATTGACTTTATGGCAACCTGTCAGATCCTTCCTGGAGACTTTGGGCCCATGTTTGGTTCTATCTTAATATGTTGCCCTTTACTTATGGAGGATCCTTTTTGGTGGTCGAGTTGGATTGTGCAAAATGCGGGTGGCCCCCCAATTTGACAGCCCCGATCATCCGATCAGTTTTGGCTTGCGTGGCTGTAAAGAAGATTGAATTTGCGCATGAACCCTGCCACATTGCAGGAAGTTACTCAACAACATCCAGCTAACCAAATGATTGGCAGTCTACCACTGCGTTGGGGAGGAGGGCCGCCACTCCAATTTCGCATGAGAAACACCGCCACCCTAATTTCGCATGAGAAACAAGTGGCCCCACCCCAATTTGATCATGTCCTTTGGAATGCTTTTTGTGTTGCTTCCTCTGAGCAAATGAGTTGGAATTACTCCACCCTTCCATCGCCATGTTTCCCAAGGAGCTGCTTGCCAAGGATCATGAATACGACATGTTCCCAATGACTCCCGAAGACAATCAGCAAAGGTCCCCCCAGTTCGCTCGAATCATTTTTCCCCCTTGTATTGCCTTCTAGGCATTTGAGTGCATTCTCCATCGTGTGGTTGTCCTGAGTTCCCCAGTTCCTGAACTTGAGATTGTCTTGGGAAGACCATTTTGGTTGTAAACTAGAGATACACGTACCGTAAGCACCTTCCAAAGGCTACCAAATACCCTAAGTGCGTTTTTTCTAGCATTTCTGGACCAATTCGACAGGCGGTGCCGGAACACTTTCTGGCCAATCCACTCAAGTGGCCATGGTTCAAAACCAATGGTACCATTTTGGGATAGATGCACCACCCATTTTAGTCTATTTTAGCGGGGATTGGGATGTTCACTGGGGGTAAGGGGTTTTAACCCATGTTCAACCCGCCAGTTCCCTTACTAGGCCAATTCACTCATGAAGTTTCCAGCCGCCTTTCCTTTGCGCAAGGCGTTGCGGGGCCGGGGAGCAGAGCGTGGGCGGCCGGTGCCAGCCGTGCCCCAACGGCACTGCGAGCAGCAGCCCCGGAGCGCGCTGTGAGAAGTGTGCCCCGGCTGTCGCAGAGGTTTGGTCAAAATGTTCGCTGGACCTACGCTGAATTTGGGAGGGGCACGGGGGACAGGCTCAATTTCCCGCCAAAAGCCGGGACCTGCGAAATGCCAATGTCCTTTTAGGGACAGACTCACAGGTTTGACCGGGGCGCAGGTGGGGACGTCAATTGTTTAAGGCTCGGTTGCCCAGCGCTTGCTCACGTAGTAAACTTTAAGGGTCTTGGGGTGGGAAGTTTGTACAGACACTACGGGCAATTTGCCTGCATCTCCCAATTTCATCTTCAGAAGGCGTAGCTTTGAGCTTTTGGTGCTTGGGCAATTTGCCAAGCACTTTCTCCTTTAGTAGATTCGGTGGAAGGTACCAAAGTGCAATCAGGATTGCGTGCCACAAAATCCGTTAAGCACATGTAAGTATGGCGTGACTGATCGAAAACAACCACCGAAGGGAACCCAACATGGTCATGGGTTCATGACCCACCAAGCCCAACGTTGAAGAATCATTTAATATATTGAAATGAAAGTCTACGGCAGCTTTTGGGAAGCCGTTGAAATTGATTTCTCCACCCCACATGGGAGATGGTTCGCGGTCAAATCATTCAAATTCAGACGACCAATTGAGGAGGGTGTTACTTGAACTCAGAAACACGGTTTGCCCAAACATGATCAACCCGCTTGAAATGATCGACCCTAAAAAGGGCAGGGTCACTGGGTAAGTGGGTATTCGCGCATCCCGAGTGTGTGGACTTTATAATTTTGCTTCTTAGTGGTAAACAACAGGTTCCGACTGTCTTGGCTCCGCTCAGGAAGTGTGTGGCATAAGGCATAGCATTTTGCTCCCTTTGGACAGGCTACAAGTTTCGACTCTGGGCCGTAGTATTTCCCTTGGGTGAGTTGCGGATCACCTGGTCCCTTTCGGTTCGTTTTCCTTTTAAACATCGCTTCTTGTTTTTTCTCCTTGTGCTTCCTTTAGAGTGATGTTTATAGGGAAATATAGGGAAACGTGTGGTTCAAGTTGATTGCTCAGCTCTGCTGAGATGGATTCCACCCATTGTGTGGGTTCCCCGTAAAAAGCACACACTCACATATGCGGTTGCCACTGCTTGTGGGGCTGCTTGTGTTTATTTGAAAGGAACTCGGAGCTATCCCACATCCAAGCAAAGGCCTTATGTGGATCTGACGGAACTTGGAGGTTCGCTTCGTTTCCTCCCGCCCTCAGCGGGCCTTTCTGGATTCCGCGAGCCAAGTCTTAGGTGGCCCCGGGACCTTTGCCGCGGGCAGCGCCTGCCGGCCCCTGCCCAGCCTGGGCGGCCGTGGCCAGCAGAAGTTCGACACGCTCCGGATCGGCAGCGTGTGGCACAACGCGACGCAGGCGAAGCGGACCGAAACCGCGCGGGGCCCCACCTCTTACATGAGCTCACATGCATTTGTTCGTGTTTTTTTTGAGGGAGCCATAGGCACGAATGGTTCAGGGAAGGAAGACAATCATTTTGCGGCCCCCTAGTTCGCAATGTAACTTATAAGCTGGGTTATAATCAGGGTGAGTTCCCTCATGACCGGGTTAGAGCCGACGTCCAAGCGACTTGGTGGCAAAATTGGTATAAACAAAAGGACTAACAAGTACAGTCTAACATGCTAAGATTACTTCTTACAGCCCAGATGTTCACAACCTGGGTTGCAAAGTTGGCTTAAACAGTTACGTAGACCTTTGTCCGCAATGTCCAGAGGCCAACCAAAAGGACAACTCGCAATTGAAGAGTTTGTTGGCTTTCAGATGTTACAGGCTTTTGGTTTCGCAGGAGACCGGCCTGAAGTTGATCCAGGCGCGGAGTGCGACCGCGGACTGCTGCTTGTTTTCTCGGCAGGGGCCAGGATTTGCAGAATTGGTTTTCTTTCAGGAGACTGCTATAAGAATGGTTGAGGGGCTGCACGGATGTCAGAGAACCGTTCAGTGTGCGGTGCTCTCTTGGATAGTCGGAGCTTCGGGTTGAATGGCCAGGAGGTTATGGCACATTGGTACTCTTTTTCCTTTAATTCTTAGTTGGTGGCTTGGCATGGTTTGCGGATTTGCACCCTGGTCCGTGAGGACTAACAGTCTGGTCCTTGCAGAGAAACTGTACAAGAACAGGTTGGAACGCCTCCACGCCACCGCGATCCTGGCACCCATCGAACCCATGGGCCATCCAATTGGTCTAATTCCTCAGGTGACCGATGAACGTCCGTGAAGTTGGAGGTCACAGTCCCGTTCCGAAGACCTGGGGCCGTTTTGTTTACGGTGTTTACATTGGTTTGGGTATGTTCTTCAGTTGTTTGCATTGGGTTGGGTCAATTTTAAGGTTTTGAGACGTGACTCAGGTGGAGGACAAAAGTTACTACGTGAACCTCGCGGAGTCGCACCGCCTGCCCGGCGGAATCGGCGCGGCGTACATTTGGGAGGTGCTCCCACCCCGGGAGGCACGTCTCGGGTCTCGAGCCGCGTTCGTGAAGTTCGACGTGGCATGAAGGGCTAGGTTTGTCTGAAAGGGGAACCCTGAAAGATGGTTGTACCCTCAAAATCCCCCCCCGCAGAAAACAAAATAATGTTTTAACCATCTTAGCAGAACCAACGTTTAATTGGGCGCTGCTCAAGGCCAACAAAAGTAGGGTACCGACAAATTGCGGGCCACCCTGGGTTGGAATTAGCTCTTTGGGGTCGAAATCAGTCAATGCGTCCCCTCGAATCCAATTTCATGGACATATCATGTCGAGGCAATCCGCGTCTGCATTGTGTGCTCCTTTTGCCTGCCTGCAGCCTACCTTCTTTGACTGACAGCCAAGCTGGAGAGGACTATTCCCTACTGTACCAATGTACTTTTTTGCGCATTAGGGAGGGCTTTGAGGCAATGATCGGAGCAAAGCTGTCAAGAGACCCGCTATGCCGCTATGCCACTTTCAGTTGTAGGTTCTCTGTCACTTGTTTCAATGTTGCTTGTTCGACGCACTCCCAAGCTCCTGGACGATGCTTGTGAGGACAAGTTCGGGCTCCTTCTAGCCAATCCGCTCAGGAAGTGAGTCTCACACTGAGGGAGTTGTTGCATGGAAGTGTTTTTTGCAGAACCCCTTGTTCAATATTGGTTTAAAATGGAAACCGAAAGGAACGCAGCCATTTTCGAGGTCGCCCAATTTGAGACAAACCCACGGTCAAAGTGAGTCGGGCACCTTCGGATCGGACTGTGCCGTTGCTCTCGCGGAATATGCACTCAAAATAATGAACCAAAATGGCACCCGCACCCATTTGGCAAAGCACGCATTTTTTCCCCCACGTGCTTCGTGGGAGCGGCATATTCTGCCATGGCTTTTTGATAATTGTGTGGTTGCTATGGTAGGTGAGTTCCTGCTTTGTATGATTGTCATGCGTCGGATGTGACAGGTGCGTGAAGTCAATCAGAATGCAGGCTATCCAGGGACCTCAAAGCCCGGATTCAGTTTGGATCTTCAACCTAGTTAGTTCATGGCTTATGCTCCTGGAAGGGCACCAACCCCAGTTGCCCCACTCTAAGTGCCTACAAAATGGGATGAACTTCGGCAAATGGAAGCCCAAAATAAAAAAAGAAAAAGGAAAGCCTTCCCTCTATCGCGCTAACAAGAAAAAGTTTATCGCTCCGTCAGGCCTGTGCTGCTGAGCGATCTGCCGAGTCCGCTTTTGCACGGCCCCTGGCCGAGCGGCTAGAGGCGGTAAAGCGCAACGAGGGCCGTCCGCCGGGGCTTTGGTTCACATTTGTGGGCAACTGCACCGCGTCTCGGCAGATTCCGCCATTAGCGCTCATGTGTGAAATGCATCAAGCCGAGTATCTAAGAGACAAGGCTTGACTGCGTCCTGTGTGAGTGGTTCGTGTTTCTGTGTTTTTTTGATTCTGTGTCTTTCGGTTTGCTTGTTTGCTTGTTTGTTTGGTTGTTTGGTTGCGTGCGTGCGTGCGGGTGGGTGTGTGGGTGTGGGTGTGGGTGTGGGTCTGGGTCTGGGTGTGGGTGTGTGGGGGGGGGGTTGTGGGTGTGCGTGCGCGCGCTCGTGCCCACGCGCGTGTGCGTTTGCGTGCTCGTGCACGCACGCGTGTGCGTGTACGCGTGTGCGTGCGTGTGCGTGTGCGTGTGCGTGCGCGTGTCGTTGCGAGTGTAATAGTATGTGTGTGTGTGTGTGTGTCAATTTGTATGTATGTATATGATCTATATATATATATACCCTGAAAATCAATGCAGGTGTAGTAGTTTTACTTCTGTGTTGTAGTTTTACTCTTTGCTTGGCTTCGCATTCACGCAATGCCTCGAGTGGATGCACATGCAGAAGCGCACAGGAGAGAACAGCAAACTCACAGTGTCCACAAGACTTTTGGTCCAACATCCTCTTTGCAGGTTGTCCTTGGACCTGTCGGGACCACAACCTTACTATGTCACGCCCCAACATGACGCATTTCACAAGCAAAGATTGCAACAGCATGATCATGGACCCATATACGTGTATCAGCTGGCTGGGGTGCCATCATGCAATCATACCACGCAGTAGCGTGAAGTAGCGTGAAATACCTGTGAAGTACGGGCGAATTACTGAGCATAACCGTGAAGTACCAAGTGTACCCGTGAAGTTTCATGAAGCAGGCACCCCACCCGATAGGTGTTAGCACGCAGGCTTGGGCACCTGCTGGAAATATCAAATGAGCACACAAGCTCTCGGCTACTTTGCATTGGTCTGGACTTAAAGGTGGCTCCGCAAAGAAGGACAGCCTCCATGTTTGCTTGTGGAAAGTCTCGACTCGACTGGTGAAACAAAGTAATTACGGAATGCATGTGTTTAGTGGGAGAAACATAGTCATGCTAAGTTTAACTTCGACACATGATATTGAGGGTATATATCTAAATGATACACGCATGTGTGTGTGTGTGTGTGTGTGCGTGGTGTGTGTGTGTGTGTCTCTCTTTGCTTGTGTTTCTGTGTCTGTTGGAGTCTGCCGCTATATGCGTGCGGCATGGTGCCATGGCATCATGGTGTTGCCGCTGCTTGGTGTTCCAACTGGACCCTGTGTTATTCTGGTGCTATGGATTTGGCTGGGGCTGCACTGAGGAAGTGTCCGGCCAGAGACGCACGCATGTGTTGCTCGGCAAGATTGCAAGCGGTCTATCTTGGCGAGTCTGCTTTGACTGCACTGGCCACGGCAAACACCATAGGTGCATGTTGTGTTCTGCAATGACTCGTTGTTTTGTGTTGTGAGATACACGCAACCCTTTCCTGTGGATTCCGCACATTGCATTTAGCAGTGATCAAACCGACAACAAGTCTGCAAGATTCAAAACTTCCACTGTACAGGCATCAATCACTCGGCACAGAAGTCGACTTTCCAACCACAGCATGAGGATACTTGCTTTTCACGGCAATATTGACCACCAAGGCGGTTGACGGGGCCGACTACCCCGAATCAAAGGCTGTCAGAACTCATTGGACGTCCATGCTCAACGTCGTGTGATAATGTGCCCACACACAAAGCACCAACGTATTTACCTCTCAAAAGATGTCAGAAGAAGTGGCGAGCAGAACCTAAGAGAGCCACCTTGTAGTTCGAGACACCATTTCACGATTCCAAAGTTGGACCATCGGGTAGCCTGGCATCCCAATGTCCCCCAATGTCACCCAATGGTTGTCATGAACTCTGCCGGCAGAATCGATTTGTCAGGATTGTCAAGTTGTACCATTGCCGACTTCACACTGAGTGATTGGGATATTTCGTGCACAAGTCCATGGGATCCGGGTCCCATCTCGCGAGTTGATGCATTGGGCTCCCTGAGAGAGTTGGCCTGCGGAAAAGGCCGCAGGGTCTTTGCGGCTGAGGTCCTTTCACTAAAGTACAAGCAGAGCCGCAAAGAGTGAGCATGTCGTTTTTTCAGGGGACCCACAAAATGGCGGTTTGGTTTGCCTTTAGAAGCCACAAACAATGGGGCTGCCCTCCAAAAGAAACCCATATGCGCGACTTACAATGAAATTTTGGCCAGAGTATCAACCAGAAAGAAGGCAGGTTGTTACTGTTACATATCCCTTTCCCCGAAATGCAGACAAGAGACACTCACAGTCTTAAGGTGACCCTCACCCGTGTCCAAACAAAAAGTACTCTTTCAAAGGGGTCAGTGCACTTCCGTGTTTGCTGGGATGGTACATCCCCTCATGGACATTCAAAGCAGGTTACAACCATGGTTACAACTGGACTAGCAGGGCTTCAACTGGACTTTTTCCAGAATTCAAGTAGCCAAAGACAGGATTAACCTGTTGACCCTCCGAACCGCGGTTTGAAAGCTCATGGCTCGATAGGCTGCTGAGCTGTGCGGACGCCGCCCCTTGGGACTTCCGCTTGCTCAGCGGCATGC